TCTGGTGCAAATTACTGACCTCTGTCATCATTTTAAGTGGGGGAACTTGCACAATCGGTGGCTGACTAAATACTTTTTTGCCCCACTGTATTAACTACACAAATATAGAAACTATGAGTAATTTTTTAGTCAACATGTTTGATGCACCTGTGCCTACAAAGAAAATGAAAGGAGAGCCTGAAGGTTACAGAACAAAAGGGAAAAATACATAAAAAGGCAAACTGATTGAGCTATAAAAAAAGAGAAACAGTCTCATTATCTTCCCCTTGTTCTTTGATGAGTTCACAGGGGAGCTTATTAGTCTCATCACATGTGTCAATTACAAATGCAGCCCTGCTATTTACTGACACAGAATTATTTTATTTATTTATGTTTTTTACCTTATAGCTATAAGGTGATGTCTGCTGAAGTGTATTTATATCTTGAAAACCTTTTGATTATATCATGTCAACATTGCCCGAGGTGTGTGCATTTCAGAAGCCCATCCATGGATGTGTCTGTGGGAAGAAACACTGGCAGAGAGAGGCAGGCTAATTGACTGTCACAGGAGTATGTAATAGGTCTCAGGGCCTCGTGAAAAGACAGCTTTTCACTAGATATTTATTAAAAAGGCTACATAGAGGAGCAGATGAACCCCACTTTTAGAAATAAACAGATAGATATGTAACTCCATCTTACCTTGTCCGTAGCATTGTCCTCTGTCATGCCAGCCCTCCACATATTTCCATACGTCTTCTTTGTGGTCTTCCTTTTTTCTTCCTTGCAGCTCCCTATTTAAAATCCTTTATCCAATATTTCCACTATCCTCCTCTGCACGTGTCCAACCAGCCTTGCCTCTGTAACTTTGTCTCCAAACTGCTCACCTTGAGCTGTCCCTCTAATGTATTCATTTCTAACCTTATACTTCGTGGTCACTTTCAGTGAAAGTTGTAGGAGCTTCAACTTTGCCACCCTCCTGCCTTTTTGCCAGTTCCACCATCTCCAAACCATACATCATAGCAGGTGTCCTAACTATCTTGTAAACCTTGTCTTTCTGTCTTGCTGGTATTCTTCTGTCACAACTTACCCCTGACACTCGTCTCCACCAACTCCACTCTGCTTGCAATCTCTTCTTCAGCTTCGGATGGTTGACCCCAGGTATTTAAACTCATCTACCTTTACTATCTGTGCTTCTTCCAGCTTCATTGTTACACCTGACACCTTCTCATTCACAAACATGTATTGTGTCTTGCTAGTCTTGTCTGTCTGGCCGTTCTCCTAACTTTCAGTTTTCTCTGGAGCATAACACCAACTCTCCAGGCTCTCTTCCACTTGCTCACTACTCTAACTGCAGATCACAATATTGTCTGCAAACATCATAGTCCACATAGACTCCTGGCTCACCCCATCTGTCAGCCTGTGATTGACCATAGCACAAAAGATTGGCTCTGAACCAATCCCTGATGTATTCCCACCCCCTTCTTGAACCCATCTACAACTCCTACCACAGACCTCACCATGTTTTGCTGTCCTCATACATGTCCTGGACCAGCCTCACATACTTCTTTGCCACTTCTGATTTCCCCATACAGTACTAAAGTTTGACCTTGGGCATCTATCATATGCTTTCTGTAGATCTTCAGTCACCCATAGGTGGACCACAGTTCAGAGCCATACCCAGACTATTTTGTTAATTTTTCCCTCCTCATTTTTCCTGACACTTTTTTTTCCATTAGCTTGGATTTGGCTAGGGTCAGTGTTATTGCTACTCATAGCACGAGATGATACCTGGACCCTACAGAGATTGCACAGGTAGTCCTACTCCTCTAGGATGGCAAATGAATACATGCTATTTCCGAAAGGTTTGCTGTGTCTCTTAGAACAGTCTTACCGTCTTAAGTGCATGAAGGAGAATCCAAGAGACAAGAGAGCCGTAGGAGAGCCGGACAGAGCCACAGAAGATCGTTAACCCAGCAGCGGGACCAATATCTGCTCCTTTGTGCAAGGAGGACCTCTACAGGCTAGGCAACGGCACCCTGACTACCAATAGATGTTCGGATGAATCCTTGGAGCCACTGTCAGACTCACCACTGATGCAGTGGGTCCTGGCCTCCTCCATGTGCTCAAGAATATCCAGTCTCATGTGACGAAAGTATGCAGCAGCTCCCGAAGGATGAAGGAATCGATACCTCATCTGACCTAAATCTAGTAAAACACCTCAGTGACATTATCTGTTGTCCATCCGACGCTGCCAGGTTTCACCTAAGACTGACCAGGTGCTAAGTGATGCTGTGGTTTAGATCTGGGAGGCGATCCCCCTGGACACCATCCACCACACTAAGTTGGAACTTATCTGTGTTACTTATACAAGATAGATGTCAAGTTCTTAATGGAAGTTCATCTGTGGCAAAATTAATTGATTTTGTAAATGATTTTATTACTACAGAGTGATCCCAGGATCACATTGGCCTCAATAATTCTGAAAAGAAAAATTATTATGCAACCAACAGGAGCTTTACTATAGACACACAGGGATGCCCAAAGCCCTCAGCAGACATGTGAGAACCTGTCAGGTGGTTTCAGCAGCACACCATTCTGGGCTGCACAACAGAAATAAAGCCCAAACCCACTCACATGTAAATTCATCTTAAGCTAAGACTAAGCTAAGACACCCAAGTCTTTTCTTGCAAAACTGTTTTAGTAGAAATAACAATCAGCTGAACATGTGAAAGGATAATTAACATTTCCTGAACAGACATTCTCTGAGAATCTCTCACCTGGTCCCTTTTGGTGGCATGCTCCCCATTACTAATCTCATGCTGCTACCGCAGAGTAGGAGTCTTGGCCTCTCTTTGTTTCCTAATGTGTCCTGCTGTGGAGCGGTTGCCCTTGCAAGCTTTATGGTCAAAAACATCCTCTAATCTGGGTCTAACTCACTACTAGTGTGAAGTTCAAGGAAATCCCCTGAAGAAAGTCTTTTTTTGTCTTCTATAAATGTGTGATGCTGGTAAAGTTAATGACTAATCATGTTAATAACTGAGATTACAATAAAATAATTGCGATTATGGCTTTTGCCATAATGAGCAGCCCCCTCTCTAATGGATAGTCTCCTTTATCCTCGTTATATGCTCTCCCGTTTGTTTGCTTCTTTTTTTTTCTTCCACTTTTCTGCTCCTCTCTCTCTTCTCTCGCGTATCTTCTCCCACTCGATGAGCATTAGGTGAGGTGTCCTACTTTCTGACTGTTTTTGGTCAAATAAGGTCCCAGTTCAGTTTTATGTCATGAGCTGTAAGATTTGACACAACTAAGACCATAAATTCATCATGAAAGATTTCTATGAACTAAGTCATTTTTGTAAGTAGATCCAAAAGAATATAGGTGTTAGGGACTTCTGCATTGCCTTTGCTTTCCAAATCATCATCCTTTAAGGAAAAAGATTGACTAAATCACTTGATAGGCAAAAATGCATTCAAACAAGATTAAAGGCTGAAAACAATTAAGATTTCAGAATGATTTATAACAGAATACCAGAGAGCAACTGTCTCTGCTGGTGTCACTATTTTGCTCAATGTTTTCTCAACTTGTGGTTTGTCATGGCCTTCCCAAATGTTCCACATATCCACTACAGAAGTGATTCATTCAGGGCAGTTTTAGGAGAAGACAGGCCAGGCAGTAACACAGCTGGAGGTGCATCAATGATGCGGATGAAATCCTTTTTTTCCCAATTTTACATGTTTTAAAAATTTTCTCTGCTATATCATGTGTCCATTATATTGTTAAAATTAAAATGTCATTCAGTGCTAAAAACCTAATGTTTTGCAGAGACTACAGATGCTTTAAAGAACACCCTATTGAGGGTTACCTTATTCTTGGCCATTGGCATAAACGGTTAGATAAAATGGTATCCACATTATGAAATCTGCCTTCAGTCCGTGTGCCCAGCCGGTGTGTAGTATTCAGTCAGAATTGTGATTTATGTTTCCATTGAACAGATTTATTTGTATTATAAATACAAAATTATAAGCACAGCACAGATCATCTGTTATCTAAAGATCATCAAAGGTAATTTGGTGTGATTGCTTTGTTCTGGGACCTCACCGCTCACCCATGTGCTTACAGACAAGAGTGGTGATGTCCAAATCCATTAGCAGGGAGCACAACAGCAAGATCCATCACAGAACCAAACAGGCATCAGTAACAGTAGACATGGGACTGATTAAGTTCGTCATAGCATGAAAAAAGAATGGAGGCAGGTTGCAAAGCAGCACATGTTCAACAACTGTAAGTTATTAAAGCAACTTTAATAGCTTACCATATGTGAGATTTGCAACATCAGATGAGCCAACAGCTGACGTGGGAAGGCACTGAGATCTGCTCATCTGCTCAGATGGCAAATACACTTGGCTGTGTGACTGCTCTGAACTAATGTTCGATGAGTCGATACAGGTTTGGGTTAACCTGGATTTCTATAGGGGAGCTCATTTAAGTCACTCATGAAGTTTCTTGGGTTTCGAAAGGATGCAGCAACTTTTCAATCAGCAGTCTCTGAATGGAACTGGATACACAATAAGAATAAATCAAATGGAAAGCAGACCCGCCAGTTCTCATTGTGCTAACATTGCAATTGGAATCAAAATTCACACTGCATGGCTGTTTTATTCATTCAACAAACAATTCACATTTTACTTTCTTCTCTAACAGTGTAATATTTTGTTATAGCTCACAATCAGAGGCAGGCATAACAAAATAACTGAATCGTTCAGAGAACCAACATGGAAGACAACTTCGTTCTTATCAGCTAGTTGGATGTTTTTCTAACTTCCTCTTCTTGCTCTTTGAACCGAAAAAGGTGTTTGTCTGACTACTGTTCTGTGGAAATGCTAAATAATAAAACTGTAGTTGAGCAATTATTTGAATGAGCAATTTGCAGTTTCCTGTCTCAATTCAACCAAAAAGTGTATGCCAGAGGTCATTTGCTCCTTTAATTTCTAATCACAGTCATTGTTTTAATGACTTTAATGACTTTATGTAAATGTAAAGCATTAAAGGAAGACAAAGAAAAAATGCTCGCTGCAGAGGGACATGCTTTTCCTTATTAATCAAACAAAGGAGAAGGAAAAGTGAGAGGGGGATACACAAGCTGTACACACACACACACACACACACACATACACACCACTGTAATATATAAGTGCCCAAAAGTTAATAATATTCACTGCTCCGTGATTAAACACACTGAATATGTTTAAGCTTAGAAACGTTGATGTGCCAAGAAGAATTTGTTTCAGTGTCAGTACCTGAATGAGGTTATATCTCACCTTATTAAATAACCTGCAAATTTAATTTCAGCAATACATATTACATAAAGACGAAAAGAAGAGCAGTCAGTTTGCACATGAATTCAATATTTGTCATTTTGTGAACTGAGCTCATGAATGATATGTGCTCATTATGAGTCTCTGCATGGTCATTTGTAATCATTTGTCTTTGAAACAAAAGGCTTATAGCTTATGGGAAATAAAGTATCACACCTCTTCATGCTCTTTAATACAATTAATGTTCAGTTAAGCTGCACTGCAATGAATTTAATGATAAGTTCTTAGTTTTATTCAGAGCAGGAGAGAAAGACTAGAGTGGTTTATGTAGAGCAGTCTCTGTCGTAACAAGAGTCAAAATTGTTAAGGGTGTCTTGACAGTGCTATTACTGCCCAGTATCACCAGTCCACCGTGTCCATTTCATACTTTGCCTCTCCGAACCGTGAAATGGTCACACATGCAGAAGTTGCAGTAATCTGCAGTACCAGCAGAGGGAGATATTTTATTTCAAGCCAAACATGAAAATAATTACGAGAAAGCAATTAAAGAGCCACCTAGAATAATCATTTGTGGTATAGAAGGAACCTGGAATGTACTTCATACCTTCCTTGGTTAGTACCAACTTCTTGGCTATAAATATATTATCTCCATCTGCTGGTACTGCAACCTCTGCAGGCGGTACTGCAACCTCTGCATACAGGTCCATTTCATGCCTTATAGCAGCAAAGCGTGAAGTGGACATGGTGGACAGCTTATCTGTTACACTCTTCGCTGTGGTATTGTCACGAGATGAGCTCTATAAATGTTTTGTGTTCTATTGTGGTGGACCACTGGAGGGCTCCACTCACACCCAGTTCTCAGGAAGTGTTATTGCTGTGTTGTGGAGGGAAAAGTATTCAGTTGTGTCGTGATGAGTAATAAACAAGGATAGTTAATCGAGAGCTCTCGTGTCGTCTGTGTTTACCTCCACATTAGTGAACCCTGACTCGAACATGGTGCAGTCCGATGGTGGCACCGGCTCCGCTCTGGATGCATCAGTGGCCGCCAGCCCTCTGCCTCCTGCTGCAGCTGTGTTTGCTGTGGCACTTGAGCTGCTGGACTTTTCACGATTCACGATCCCCCATCGTGGTTCTTGCATGTGGAGGCTCAGTTCGCCCGTCGCGGCATCTCGGCTGACGACACGAAATATCACCATGTGGTGGCCTCTCTCGATCCGCTAGCCACCCGTCGTGCGTTGACTCTTCTCCGGGACCCACCCACCCAAGGGAAATACATCGCCCTTAAGAAGCTGCTTCTTCGGCGCTATGCCCTCTCCGACGCAGAGCGAGCCGAAAAGCTCCTCTCCCTCTCAGGCCTGGGTGGCAGTACGCCTCTCGAAGTGATGGAGCACTTGCTATCCTTCCTCAGACCGGACGACGGGGGATTCTGTTCGTCCACATCATCCTCCAACAGCTGCCGGCGGCCGTGAGAGCTGGCCTCGCCAACTCTCCGCTTCTAGGCGCGAAGGATTATCGCTCCCTGGTTGAGGAAGCGATCGTATTCTCTTGGCTACCCTCACTTTCCATGATTACGACCTAGTACCAGCCTTGCCTGCGGCACCTTCCACTTCCCCGCCGGCTTGCCCCGAAGTATCCCATCCTTCACTGATGGCAAAGATCCCAGCACAGCAGCACAGGACCTCTGTTTCTACCATAAGTGTTTTGGCGCCCGAGCACGCCACTGCCTGCTGCCTTGTGCTTTTCTGGCCCTGGGACACAGCCCCGCCAGCGCACAGAAGCGGCCGCGACCGCTGGTGACAAAGAAAAACTGTTCTTCATAGAAGACACGCACTCCGGGAGACGTCTCCTGGTCGACTCCGGATCCCAGAAGAGCCTTTTTCCCTCAACGGTTTAGCAGCGGGCTGCAAACCGCTTATTGCAGCTAATGGCTCTCCCATCGTTACGTTTGGGGAAATGTTGGCTTGTTTTCCTGGTCGGGATTTCCAGTCGAACTTTGTTGTTGCCGCTAGCTCTGTGCCTATTTTGGGCACCAATTTTCTTTATGCCCACGGACTGCTGGTCGACGTCGCTAACAGATGCTTAATCGATGCCCTGTCCTTTTTTTCAATACCCTGTTTTACTTGGGCCATCGAGCCCCTGAATCTGGCTAATTTAGTGACTTCGGGGAATGTTTTTCAGCGTTTTCTCTTGGAGTTCCCTTCACTGACTGTTCCTAATTTCTGGAACACGGCAATGAAGCACAGGGTTGAACATTATATCTCGACGGTCGGTCCCCCGGTGTTCGCTCGCGCACACCGCCTTGACCCTGCGAAACTCTCCATCGCTCGGGAAGAGTTTGCTGCTATGGAGCGCCTCAGCATTGTATAGCGCTCGAATAGTGCTTGGGCCTCTCCGCTACACATGATGCCCAAATCAGATGGTGGCCGCCGTGTGGGTATTTCCGCCGTTTGAATAATATCACGGAGAACGACCGTTACCCCATTCCCCACATCCAGGATTTTTCCGCCCACCTTGCCGGCACCTCGATTTTTTCTAAAATTGACTTGGTGCAGGGGTATCACCTGGTTCCCGCGCACACCGAAGACGTTCCCAAAACTGCCATTATTACCCCTTTTGGCCTGCTTGAGTGTGTGAGCATGCAGTTCGGCCTGAAAGGCGCTGCCCAGACTTTTCAGCGGTTGATGGACTCTGTCTTGCGTGGGCTGCCTTTCGTCTTCGTGTACCTTGCCGATATATTGGTGGCCAGCTGTTCTGAGAGTCAGCACACGTCCCATCTGAGTCAGGTTTTTCAGCGTTTGGCGGTACACGGCCTGATCGTCAACCCTTCCAAGTGCCAGTTCAGGTTGCCGGTTCTGGATTTCTTGGGCCACCACATTTCCGCTGACGGTGTGGCTCGTTTGCCAGACAAGGTCCGGGCCGTTTCGGCTTTTCAGCATCCCACATCGGTTAAAGTGCTGCAGGAGTTCTTGGGGATGATCAATTTCTACAGCCGCTTTCTCCCCAGAGCTGCGGACCTGCTGCAGCCACTCTATGCTGCCTTGAAGGGTAAAACAGCTAAGGACTTGGTTGATTGGCTCCCTGAACACATCAGGCATTTTCTGGGGCCAAGGCCGCGCTGGCTAACGCTGTCCTGCTGGCGCACCCGTTTCCGTCGGCAGATATTGAATTGACCAGCGACACGTCAGAAGTGGCGGTGGGCGCAGTGTTAGGACAGCGGGTCTCCGGTCTGGCAACCACTTGCCTTTTTCAGTCGCACTTTCAGGCACAGTGAGCGCGAATATAGTGTTTTTGACAGGGAGTTGCTGGCCCTGCACCTCACAACGTGGCATTTTCGTTTTTTTCTCGAGGGTCATAGCTTTACCGCATACGTCGATCATAAACCCTTGACGTTTGACATTTCTCTGACCCGTGAAGTGACATTTTTGTCAACGTGGGTTTCGCGTTTCGGCCCCCCTGCCGACATCACCTCAGACAGGAACCCCCAGTTCATTTCAGAGCTTTGGTCTGCCATGGCTGACGGCCTGGGGGTCAAGGTCTACCAAACCACTACGTACCACCCGCAGACCAACGGGATGTGCGAGCGTTTCCACTGGTTGCTTAAAGCCGTGCTCCGTGCTTCTCTCACAGATTGCAACTGGGTTGACCGCCTTCCGTGGGTTTTACTGGGGTTGCGCTGCGCGGTTAAAGAAGACCTCTGGGTTTCCTTGGCTAAACTTGTTCTCGGTCAGCCCCTCCGGGTCCCCCCGGGCAAGACACTTCACCCGTTGCCTACAGGTGGTGGTCAGAGGGCCTGGTGGCACCAGTGT